AGATGAAATTCAACACTGATAAACGCAAAATAATGCACATTAGAAAAAATAATCCCAACTACACATTTACAATGATGTGTTCTAAATGAGCTGTTTACACTTCAGAGATTTTGGCATCACCTTGGACATTTTGCCAAAAATTTCCATTCAATACACAACCGAGGTCAAAAAGTCTAACAGAATATTAAGAGCTATTAGAAAAAAGGATAGAAAATAAGACAGAAAATATCATAATGCTATTATATAAATCCATGGTGCACCCACATTTTGAATACCATTTCCAGCTACCCCATTTCAAAAAAGGTAAGTGGAACTGGAAAAGGTTCAGAGGAGGGCAAAAAGATTATCTAAAATACTGAACAGCTTCCATATGAAGAGAAACTAAAAAGATTAGAGCTACTCGATTTAGAAAAGGGAAACTAAGAGAAGGGGATATGATAGAGGTCCATAAAATTATGACTGGTGTGGGAAAAGTTAATAGAGAAGTGTTATTTTTCCCTTTCCCACAATACAAAACCCAACGATCATGCAATTAAATTATTAAGCAGCAGGTTTAAAACAGAGTAAACAAGAGGAAGTACTTTAACTTGTGGAACCCAATGGCATGGAATTTGTGATGACCAAAAATATAACTGGGTTCAAAAGATAATTAAATAAATTCAGAACTAAAATAAATAGAGAATTAAATCAGCCAAAATGGTCAGGGATGCAACCTCATGCTCAGGTCTACCCTAAATCCTAGACTGCTTAAAAACATGAAGAAAGAATTCTAGCTGTCCTGTACTGTCCACTTCCCTTGAAGCTCTGGTACTGGCCACTATAGCAGACTAGATATTGGGCTATAAGGACTACTGGTCAGACCCAGTATAGTAATCCTTGTGTTGCCTTTGTGCTGAGGGATGAGGGTGCCCTCTTCTTTCTAGGAAGGCTTAGGAAGAGAGGGAGCTTATGGGGAGGACTGATGTTGCCTCACCCTCCTTAACACAGCAAGATGAGTCAAGGCAGTGGCAGTTGTATTTAGAACAAAAGCTTCCTTTATCCTGATGGTGGCTTGGAGCCACTTGTGAAACTCCTAGGTCAACATCTAGTACTATACAGCCCTGTATAGTGGATGGGCTAGTGTAATACAAATAATTAATTAATCAATTAAACAAATTATAATATAGTTTTCTCTGCTTTTTTTCTTAACCTCTCAGAAAATTGAAAGGATATGCCCTGTTGAGCTGGGTCATAAATACCTTTCCTTACCAATTTTCTCTCTTTCTCTTATGCAAATATTGATTTTCAATTAAACTAGGAAGATTTTATTTATATAATGTCTTATGATCTCAAAGCAGCTTTGTGGACCAGCATTGAAAAGTCCCACAGGGTGCTTGGAATAAAAATGCATAGCATATAGCAATAAAAACAAAATATTGGGTTTTGGTGCTCTGCCTCCTCCCTATATTCAGGTTTATTTTTAATTCCATAAAAATGAAGCAGTGTATTTGAAAAAAGTAAAACCAACTTGCATAATCAAAAAGTTATTTTAACATGAACAAATCTGAAGATTAAAGTTCTTGGTAGTAACCATTAGATAGGAGATTTTCAGAAATGAAAGGTTAATGAATTGAAAACAGTTGTGCCATATAGCTGCTCTTTATATTCCTGGATTAATGTTTACAGATTATTTGGTTTCATTTTATTTTTAGACTCCTATACTCAGATACATTAATTACATGGATTAAGAGTTATACCTGTGTTAGATACTGTGGCGATTATGACCAAAATCCAAAGTGCAAATAAAATGCAAATTGACATATGGAAGTCTATTAGAGATGTTCAGGAAACCAAAACTTTTTGCCTAGAAAATGTTTCATGTCCAGCATGGAATTCCTAGTCAAAATCAAAGAGACACCAAGAGAATAAAAACAAATTCCAAAACCTTTACTTTTTTTTTTTTATATACATAGCATAATTTTTATTTTCTGGACAGCCCTACAGTCAACACTGAACTCTAAGGCCTATGTCAGAGACATGTGACTGCTGAGAATAGGCATTGTAACATAACAAGGAAATTAAACAAATGTCAAGAGGAAACAATAAAGGCCTTTATCATCAAACTTGCAACAGTAGGTAAAGAATAACTGCATCAATGAGAAAATAGCTTATCTATCTGCATGTCTAATCCATACAATATCTTTGCTTCAAGAAACACTACAGAGTTGTCAAATCCTGGCCCCACTGAGCTCAGTTGGAGTTTTGTAACTGACTTCAGAGGAGCCAAGACTTCACTCCAGACATGGTAAGTATTACATCATGCCCTAATATGCCGTAAAATGAACCTAATGCTTCTTCCTTTTTTAAAGCTTCCTACACATATTGGCCCAGTCTCCAAAGACTATTACAGTACTCTTCCACTTCAAAAAGCCCTGCTTAAAGGGGTGCATCTTGCCGTAAGAGTCGTGAAACCTGCAACCATCCTGATATTCAGTGGTAGTGTATTCCAGGGCCAAAGGCCATCCACAAACTGGCTTTGACTAGACTATAAAGCTTACAGCAATGCAGCTGCATTGACATATCTGCACCTCTGTAACACTGCTAGTGCAAATGTTTAGCCAGGAGAGAGCTCTCCCATTAACTTAATTACTGCAGTCCCTGTGAGCAGCAGTAGCTATGTCATAAAAAGAAGCTCTCCTGATGATATAGCGCTCTCCACACCAGTGCTAAAGATGTGTAACTTACATTGCTTAGGAGGAGGCTTATTCATACCTGTGAGCATGTAAGTCACACCAACTTGAGCTGTAGTGTGTACATAGCCCAAGAAGGGCACCTTGAGGCACCTTTTCAGCAATGTACAATGGGGATTAGGCATGCAATGCTTTCAATTAATAAATGGGGTTGTACATCTCAGTGAAAATGTATCCCATTATATTCAAAGAGAAAATTACAAATCACTCTATCTGATCTAGCAATGCAGAGCTCACCCTTGAGATGTGGGAGGCATTCTTCTTTGTTCCCTGCAGTGCCCCACTATAAACATGGCATGACACAGATCCTTAACTCTTTTGAGAACTAATAATTTCAGCTCACATTACTCTGCACCATTGTGTTGCATGTATGAGTTGGAGGTTAAGACAAGTGCAGCAGTGGGTAAGTGCACAAGCCTTTCCTCCTCTAACTAGAAATTTACATTCTGATTTGGATCACAACTAAGTATCCATGTGATGATTTCACCCTAGTTTCCATTTGTCCACCTTACCGTACCACAAATAAGACAATTCATTTCAGCCAGATTCATAGACTTGGCTCAAAAGAAACCCAGCACTGGAATGATATAAATACTGCAGGTCAGGAACAGGCTTCATCGACAAATGCTGTGGGAAAGTTTGCACAGTCCATGTTTGTACTCTGGCAACTTCTTTCTTGTGCGAAGTTTCTTAGTTCTCTCTTGCCCTCAGGGACACAGCAGAGGCCCTTGGCAAGGTAAGTCAGTGTTTAATCTCATTTTTTTTTTATTTTAAAAAATGCTTCACTCTCCCTTTCACTGTGTGAAGATGTGATGGGGTGTAAAGATAAGCCTAATCTTTACTGCTCCTTTCCTGCCACTCCCTCCCCAGGAAAGGAGCAGTCAAGATGAGTCCTCTGAGCAGTCTAGAGAGACTGTGAAAGTCTAGCCAATCAGAAGGTTGCAGGTTAGTATAAAAAGGAGCAGCCCAGAGTCAGTTCCTTGCTAGAGCCAGAGGAGTGTAGATGGTGCTCCTGGCTAGCCAAGGGAACTGCAGCACCCTGGACAGCTCAGTGCCCGCAAGGACCAGGGGAGCAAAAAAAGGAGCTTCTGGCTGGCTGCTGGGACAGAATAGAAGACTTCAGCCCTACAGAAAGGGTGACGTATCAGTGAAGGCTGGAGCAACAGGGAAGTGTGGCGGCTATTTGTAGGATCCTTAGGCCAGAATCTGGAGTGGGGGTGGGCCCAGTCCTTCCCTTAGGCCACTGGGAAAGTAGCTACAATTGTCCAGCAAGAAATATCCCGGAAGGAGAACTGAACAGTTCAGAGGCCCAGATGAAGAGCTGAGGCCTAAAGAGACCAAGAGTGAAATCATTGCCTCTTGGTAGAAAGCCTGGATATATAGGACTGTTTAAAGACTGCAGACATACCCAACCAAGAAAGTACTCGTGAGAGGTGGGTGCCACTTCATTACATTAAGATTAATAGCAGGGGGAAAGAACTGACTACGGGGAGATACTGAAAATACTTTCCCGTAAAGGGCTGCTCCTGTGCAATGTAAGTAAACTGAAAAATTATTTCATGCATAGTACTCTTAGATGTTACTTGTATTAATAAGCAAAAGACTCACATTTTCACATACATCATTTAAAATAGGATTATACCACTGCAGAACACATACTTACTTCTCCACAATATTGGAAGAATGAAAAACTAAATATCCTTCCTTCTTTGATACTGTACTGCCACTGTTCAAAAGATACAGGTGAATCTGGAGGCTCTGGTTGGGATTTCTGATTCCACCAAATGATCTTTTGATAAATAGTTCGGTTTCTGACTACATCACGTTAAAAAAAAAACTGTCTGCTTTCACAGAACATTTCAAGAACCTTCCTAAAATTTGTCAGAAGGAAAATGGAAACCTTGGATTTTTTTTTTTTTCAAAAAACCCTTGTTTCATTTTCATCCAAGTTTTCCACAGCAAAGAGTTCAATTTTCTAACCAGATCAGATGAGGACAGAACCAAAATGTTTGTGTTGATGCGTTATTGCTTGACCAGCCAGGTGTCAGAGTTGAAAGGAAGAGAACCGGTTCATCACAATCAGAATTAAAATGTGAGAAGTGTGAGTGGGGCTAAAAGTTACCTCAATAATATCTTCATGATGTTAAAGAACTTGCTTTGGAGCATTTCTGGACATGAGATACCCAATCACAAATTGAAATTTTCAATCCGAAATATAAAAATGACACTAATATCAATGCCAGATGTTTTTAAATAGTTAAGTCTCATTACCTCATTATTGACTTCTGCAGGCTTTTTCTTCGTCTCACCTATATCCAGGATAGAAAAGAATGGTATAGGTTACATATAGCAACATTTAATCTCAACAAAAATATTTTTCTTATATTTAATTAAATTATCGTGAGTAAAATAATCTGTAGGGAGCCTTCACCTATAATTAATCAAAATTTTACACCAACACAAACTGACCACTTGCAGCACTGAAAAGGAGCCATGCCACAATAGCACAGAGTGCCCTTAATTCAGGATTCTAATGACAAAAGCTTACCAAATACTTACACAGTGGTGCTGGAACTATATTAAGGTGAGAGTGGTAAACTCCACTCCTCCTCCCCTTACCCCTGTTCGCCTCACACCCCCACGTGTAAGGTTGCCAACTCCCCTGGACCAGACACCACTGCCACAAATGGCAAAAGCTTATTGGATAGTCGACTAGTCCCTCGACTAGTTGCTTCTCCCCCACCCCTTGCTGTCTCTATCAGAGGCAGCAAGGGTGAGGAATAGGAGCTAGTGCTGGGGGGAGCCGGCTTAAAAGCCGGTTCCCCCCAGCACCGTCTCCGTGGGGGACAGGGGAGGCAGGGGGGTAGCAGGGACTGGGCACGAGGAAGGAATCAGCTGATTCCTGGCTCACGCCCAGTCCCAGATGTTGTGCCTCTGCTTTTTAAATGTATTAATACCCTGGTGGAGGTGCAGTGGAGGGTACCACATAAACACGGGGGGGGGGGGGCACTCGGGCGGCGCCAAAAAATGTATTAAGAGCCTGCCAGCTCTTAATACATTTAAAAAGAAGAAGCGCAGCGGGGGGATCAGCATGAGCTGGGACAGCTGATTCTTGTCTCACACCGGGTCCCCCACACTGTGCTTCAGCCTTTTAAATGTATTAAGAGCCTGCTGGCTCTGGTAAGCTCCTGGGGGCAGGAGCTAACCCCACTGCGCTCCCACACTTATCAACTAATCGACTAGTCAATGGAAAATCTAATTGATCAGTTGATTAAATTAAATTTAACATCCCTAGTCCAATTCAGGAGAGTTGGCAACTCTGGCGGGTCCCCCACACTGTGCTTCAGCCTTTTAAATGTATTAAGAGCCTGCTGGCTCTGGTAAGCTCCTGGGGGCAGGAGCTAACCCCACTGCGCTCCCACACTTATCAACTAATCGACTAGTCAATGGAAAATCTAATTGATCAGTTGATTAAATTAAATTTAACATCCCTAGTCCAATTCAGGAGAGTTGGCAACTCTGGCCACAGCTGAAGGTGGCTGCAGAGCGCTGGCCTGGTAATGGGACCCCAGCTTGTGTGAATTACTCCTCCGCCTCCTTCCCATACCAGGAGTGAGATGAATGCACACAAGCTGTGTACAGGCAGTCCCCGAGATACGCGGATCCGACTTATGTCGGATCCGCACTTACGAACGGGGCCCTCCCTTTGCTCTCTCTCCAGTAGACCAGGGAGAGGGAGCAAAGCAGAGCAAATCCACGGAGCACGCGGGCAGCCCAGACGCGACTGGGCTGTCCGCTGCCCGCGTGTTCTGCCGCTTTGCTCCCCCTCCCCCCAGTCCGCCGACCAGGGG